GCCACCGGGCCGGCCCTAAGGGCTGGCTTTCTAATGCATCGTGGTACTTGTTATGTTTCAGGATGGGATTTTAAACCCGCATGCTGCCTCTTGCACCTGTGCCGCCTGCTGTGATGACATGACTTTGGTAAGTTGCCAGGAAGCCAGACAAGCTCGTTTGAGTGAGGGCAGCTGAGTGAGCACTGTGGTCCTCTGCCCTGCAGAGATACTGTCCTCGCCTCTTCTGGGGCTGTCGTCCCTGTGTCCCTGGCACATCCCTGGGGTTCCCGATGCTTTGACTGGGCATGTGCTCGGTCCCTGAGTGGCTGCTCAAAGAACATAAAGGAGACTTTCTTAAGTAACAGAAAGCTCTGATAACATCACCATCTTAATGCCCAAACCAAACACAAACACTTTTTTTAATGGCTATAACAGATGTGTATGTGCCATTTTGTATTCTGTGTTTAACATTGTGTTATAAAAATTCTACACTAAACCTGTTCACATATAGAGCTTTTAATGTCTTTTGAGATACTCTAAAAGACAAAATCATTTTCATTGATTTTGATATTATTGCTGTATAGCTTTCAAAAGTGTGATACTAATTCTAATTTGTAATGTATGAACATACTGTTTTCATTTTAACTTCCCTTAATGTTGAATATTATTATCTTAAAATATCTTAAAATTAATTTAGAAGCTATTTAATGAGACCTCCTAATTTTAATTTGATTATTACTCTGGTTAATTACTGGAAGAAAAGAAAGAAAATTTATTTGGAAAGACCATGTTCTTAGGGTGAAAAACTAAATATTCCAAAATTGTCTAGTTCATGTATAGATTTAGTATGATTCTAGTGGAAAAACCAATTTTGTGAAAATAAAATAATTTTAAGGTTCATTTGGAAAAACTAGGTGAGACTCTCAGATCTTGCAGGGGTAAAGAGCAGTGAGAGGGGATTAGCTCCTCTAGGAGGTTTAGAATACATGGTGGAATCATTTACAGTTGCTCCTGAACACTGAAATACTTAGGTGTAAGTCTGATAAAACATGCACAGGATTTGTATACTGAAACTAGAAAATGCTGATGAAAGAAATCAGACAAGGCCTAAATTCTTCAAGAGGCATACTATGTCCATGGATAGGAAGACTCAACATATTAAAGATGTTAATTTCCCCTAAATTGATCTATAGGTTTAACACAATTGCTATCAAAATCCCAG